TCATTGAACTAAGCTGATTTTGTTTCTTACGTGTAGTGAATGTCGCCGAGGCAATGGTCAGTTTCTCACCGCCCAATGCGCTCGTAACAAATGGCTATTAAAATGTTCACTGTAGCGACTTACTGTGGCGTAGCGTTAGGCGATGTGATGCGCTGGCGACACAGCGATGTGCGTCAGTGACATCGCGCAGCTTCCTCTCGGCGGCGGAAGGCGGTTCAATTTGTTAAATTAGTGACATTCGCTCGTCATTCGCTGCACAGATTCCCTATGAGTGGTTTGTTAACGATGTCAATGATTTTCGCGCTTTGTTCCACGTGTACGAATGGGAACAGTTTAATCTGTCTGTTGGTTGTCTGAGTATATGAAATTATTTTAAATTATAATAGTGCATATTGTTTTTGATTTATTTTTCATTGAAACATTACGTAATAACAACAACGATGTTTAGTAAAATAAAAATCTGTATGTTAAATTGTCAATATGAATCCAACAAGATATTCTCGACTAACATAACAATAAACACATTGAGAAAATACTTTGTTGAAATATTTGAGTATTAGTTCATCTACTTGCCACTAGGAGCGCTGCTGTGTACTAAAACTAAGTGCGTACCGCGGCAGCGCTCGATTGCTTTGAATTGAGCTTCCGTCGGCGTCGGTATAAAAGTCCCGCGTCCTCGACGTCCATTAAACAATATAGAGTCGGTGCGAGCCGTCAGCCGACAGACTGCGAGACTATATTAATCGAGACCTAATTCACTAATGTCACTCTACCACTTGACTGACCAGAACAATGGAAACATTATTGAGATGAATTTAGAAATAAAATAATAAATAACATTTTAATCAAATTACAGAAAATTGAATGCAGTCCAAATGATGAATGACGGACGTAATGTAACAAATTCATAGCATTATTTTTTAACGATCCTACAACATTTTTGGCTCATTGGAAGAAAGTAAAAAGCTATCGAGTAATTTTTTCTTAATACCACTCTAAGAAAAGCTTGAATTTCGGAATCAACTTATCACCATAGAAACATATTTTACCAACGTAAATTCTGCTTCCATACCTCATTAAACCTATAGAACTGTGAAATAATTGGTCATTAAAGATGAGGAAATTGTAATAGAGAATTTAAGCTTAGATAAGTCTCATTATTTGAATGTTACAATCCGCTCAATTTCTTTCATATACGTACAAGTGCTCAATTGGTTGGTAACGAGGCTTTCTGGGCAATTTGCGCCCCATCGCGCGCGCCCGCCCCCTAGCGGCCGATCTACGTCTAACTACGTCACACCTGTTGTAACCTTGGGGACGATTGCCGATCGAACGCAATTTAGGGTGGAATCTGTATCGTGAATAATTTGCCTTTTTATTCGATTTGCACTATTCCAAATTTTAGGGTTAACTTGTGGTTTATTGAATATGAAGCTATTTACTAAGGAAGATATATTTTTAGTAAACAGGCAATCAGACTACCAAATTATGTGGAAATAATAAAAAAAAGAAACTTCTATTGACCCCAATGATCTCGTATAAATCGGAAAAATATACGACACAAATGACTTTAAAATAGGTTTTAACCATGGTCAAGCATGCCTATCAAGACTTAAGAAATTTCAACAGTATCAAGAACAAATACTATATAATAGAAAAATAGGTATTATGTGTCTTACTATCACAAATTTTGTTGATTTGCTTTTTAATTACACTTGCACACTTTAATACCCAATTTGCTTTTTTATTTGTCTTATAAAAACAATGCTGTTGGGTCAACATAAACGTTCCATTAATTGCTACAATTATCCATTGTAATATGAATTTTGTATTCGGAATATACAAAGCAAATTACTTTAAGCGCCATCTGTCGTTAAGTAGCGGTACCAAACAAGGGCAACATAATTTGCTAACGGCTCGCAAAAACGGTTCAAGTTGATGAGAAACAAAACAAATTCCAGTTAACTTCGTTACTTTTACTGTAGAGATTATAATACGAGATTATCTTTTACCTTTATTATCTGTCGGCTATTGCACCTGCCGGTTAACCGATTTTGAATAACTGCCATTTGGATCCATCATGGCATCGTAAGAAACGACTAACACATTTTTTCTTTATTGTTGAGTATTTTAACGTCTTTTTTGTGAGACATTTACATAACGTCGACTTAATTTGAGGTTTTAATTAGTACTATGTATATTATGTTTGCACATAACAATATAAACACAAGGAAAGTACGCTTTTAAATATTAACATTACATATTTTTATCCCCAATCAAATATTAATAATGACGGTTTATTTCAGAATGTATATTTTAAAACTTATGTCTTACAATAAAAAGGAAACTAAAGAACTAAATGAGCTGTATATATTGTTCTTCTTCAGTGTTTCGTATAAAAGATATCAACGTGTTCAAGTTAAAATTGATCAATGGAGTATCGAGGTGATCGCGTGACACAACCCGACCTGCCGCAATGGGCACGTGGCACGCGGCTACGCACACGCAACGTTACGTCGCCACGAGCACGCCCACGCACTACGCGCTACTACACACTGAATGTAGTAATACTTAATCTAAATGTAGTAGCAAAAGATCTTGCATGCAATAGCTTTACCTGCAAGAAACATAAATAATTGTGGGGTAAAATAGAACTAGGAAATAGTCTTAACCTTCACTTCTCTCAAATAAATGGTTGCTTACTTTTGTGTTATATTATTATTCATACAATCGAACGCAACGGCACCAATTCAGTTAAGTCTTTGATTGTAATACTCAATATAATGTTGATTATAACTACACCAGATCCTAGAAAAGCTATTTCAAATACCAGATTTGATAAAGTAAACTCCTTAATATTAGCAAATGTCGATTGGTACTTATATCATTTTATGAAGATGTTTTGGCAGACAGAGCTCATGATTACTATGTTATAAATAAACTCGTTTGATTTAAAATTAATCAAACAAACGCATGCGGGGCTTATATAAATTATTAATTACCCTATAAAACGGACACGTTGCTATCTATATTAATTAGTAAAAGAGGACCGGTCACGCGGCAGCTGTCCCAACCGTTGGGTTTGTTTGTTCATTACCAAATCACACGACAGTCGGCAATCGGTAGCGCAGGCGCACATCCAAAATTTCGACCTGCCTGTGGAGATCCTTACAAAACCTGCGATTTGAATTAGAATAGGTGATATTGTAGGATAACCAAGCTTGTGCACGGTTTTGAGGACTCAGGAATAGATAAATCTGACGGTTTTTTTGTAAATACTAAGTACATTAGAATTTATTAGAAGACATCAACGATGTTTTAAAAAATGTCTCCTTTTTTAGATGAAGAATTAGTAGTAGGTAAAGGTAAGATTTTTTGTTAAAAGATTTTTGTTAAATAAAGTATAAATTAGTGATTTTTTATAAGAAACCTAATTTCTTGCAAGATGTTGCATTTCTGGATAAGTATTTAGGCAACAAATTATACACTCATTTGTTTTGAAAAAAATTCTTCTATCAATTACAAATTAATCCGGGATTGGCGGAATTACTAAACACTATCGTATCATGCAATCCCAAATGTGATTACAGCTAGGTCGCTAGAAAGTTCGAACGTTCTTTTAAAAGTAATAAAAGTCCTATAAAATAGCCGAAAAATTTATGACACGGTCTAAATGCGAGCGAAAGAGAGAGCAGATAATTGAGACAGCGATCAAGCAAATGTCGTGCGTCTAACACAAAAGCAGGAGTAACGAACTAAAACGCCAGGTGTGCGGCCATGTGCGCGGTGCTCACTAGCGCCAAACGCACGCCGCGGCGGCGGCCAGCACCTCACGATATTGATACAGCTCCGTATCCTATCCGAATGACGTCACTTTATAATTCATACCATAGGATTAAGAATTATTGACTTAAGAAAATATTGTTTATTTATTAACATATTATTCTATACTTTACAATCCGATATATCTATATCTACTAGTATATACCATTAACCCCACAATGCTGCTATTTGCTATTCAATATTTACAGTCAATTAAGGTGAATAAAGTTGATTGTGTTAAATAAAATAAGTTTCTGATTGCAACAAACAATAACAAATTAAATAATGAAAAATGCGGCATTTAACAATGAAAATGTCTTGTTCTTAACTATGGTACGATTTAAAATTTAAATCAAATTTCAATTACGCATTCAACGCATCTGCAGTTCCTCTGGTATAGCTGATGTCCATGGGCGTCGTTGAACACCTCGGTGTTCCCGCTGCTCGTTTGCCCCCTTCTGTTATAAAAACACGAAACAAAGATAATTTGAACTCTATAGATTTTACATTCACCATTTTAGTTTTTCAAGTACGTCTGAGGAACTACAACAAACGAAATGCAGTCTAGACAGAGTACACAGACATATGTAATTTAGATTTGTTTTGGAGCAATTTAACAGGACCAACTTGAAATTCACTTTACACGTTTATTATAATATTCCTGAACTACGTATCGAGCATTTTTATAAAAACGTCTATCAACGTCATTAAAAGTTTATGAAATTTTAAAACGCCCATACACTTCTAAAGTGAACAATATAAAATCATTAGGAAAGCTTGCTTTCATTTTAATAAAAAGTTACGTATAGCGCCATCTATTGATGAAATCATTTTTAGTTCTAGTGTTTAATCCTACAGCCATCTAGCGGCAAGGAGCTAAAATACAAACACAAAGGAAACACTTTAGTGTTACATTTAAGTTACAGATGGCGCTGTTAAGGGAATAAAATTACAGATATATTTAATTTAAAAAAAGTCAATTTTGTAGATTTTATATTTTTTTATGCCTTGTTAAAAACGTTTACTTTCATTTACTAAAATAACTAATCTGTCGCCATCTAACCTTCCATTGCATGTTTGTCTATTCATTTTTCCCTTTTGTGTTAACATTCTCCTTTTGTTTTTACTTACTTTTATTTGCTTTATGTTAAGTCTGTGGTGTGTCTGTGTTGTTTTAGCTTATTTTGGGGCCGGACGGGACGCTGCAGACGGTGAAGAGTGAGTCGCGCCGCGGCCGCGGCAGAGGGCGCTCTACGACCACACCAGTGAGTACTCTACTTTATTTTCTGTTGTTTTTTTTTCTTTCATCCCTTACTATGTGTCTATGTGTAACCTATCGTTCGTTTGAATGACTAATTGTTAACAATATCTTACTCATATTTTTCCCTACACTTCAAGGCAATCTTCGAAAGAAACCAAAGAAGAAATAAAAAAAAATAATTATTTATGCGATGAAATTAGTAAATAAATTAACAGATATATAATTGTTCATGAACTATAAATATTGACGTCATTGAAATAATTTCACCAATAAAACATTTAATGTTAACACTTCAAATAGCTCAAGCTTTATGTAAAGTTGCTAGCAAAAGCCTAGAATAGCCGAAGTTAGCTTCTATAAACTAAGTTTACCTTATAACTTTATCGTACAGCGATAAAAAAGGTCAACCAAAATACCCAGTAACGTTTGGGCTTGTAGAAAGATACGAGAGTTCGTTGCGAATTAATAGAACAAAATATCAATTTGACCTGCGTGTTATTTCATGCAACCCTTCATTAGATTGGTCCGGCAATGAATCAAACAAAAACAAGGTCACTCTCACTCTCAGCTCGGAACACCCAAATACGAAAATAAAGTGAAGCCCACGGCCTCACGGTCGCCAAAGCGCGTAATGTACGCCATTCAACAAATTAAAACGCCCTCTGTCAAATGTGCGAAATTATCGCTACATTGGTAACCATTGCTGGGTTCATACACGTGTATCAACCCGCTAGTAACAGACGCAGTGATGTATTAGGGGTCGTTTCGCACGCGACGCGCTTGTCTGCATTTTTGAAAGAGCCTCCGGCGCGCCACCTGTAGGGTCATTCACACGGCGCGGACGGATTTTGAATTGTAAATTGTAATTCATTGGGTGAAAAGTTTTAAATCGTTGGCGACAATCGACCTTGAAAATGTATCGTTTTGTCGATACACCGGAAAAGGAAAGTTATCTGATACCACAACTTGTAATTCATGTTAATGATTATGGTCTTTAAAACATCTGCTATCAAGTTATTAAATAAAATAGGACTAAATGCCGAACTCAGTCATTAATCAGATCTTTTAGTCTAGGTTTACTATAATAAACCTACTAAAAGGTCTCAATTAGTGGTTATTTAATGACTCTGAGTACGAAAGTTAATAAATGAGTCAATATTCGTGACACTGAATATTATTTAGACATTTGTCAAAGTCAGCAGTTTTAGCCTTTAAAGAGATAAATTAAAAGAAATTTTCTTAATTATCCTTCATGCAACGAAAATTAAGAAAACTTTACAATTAATTTTTAAAGTTTTAATTAAAATAAGTTTTAATAACAAATATAAATGTAATTATAACTTTAGGTAGATGCCACATCGGTCGGTTAGAGCTTTCATTAAAACAATTTCGTTGAAATTCCTCGAGTTAATGAGAGCCGCGGGCCGCATCTGTTGCAGCCCTGACCGAACCTGCGAACTGGGTCGTTACCAAATTGAAATTTATATATAATAATATAATATTATATAATAATACTTAATTTCAGACATAATAAAATACATAATACTTGACAAATCAAGTATTCTTACGATGACCAGTAACTGCCGGACTCACGGTCGTTAGAGGATCACAAAGGACGTCCCTGAGTATAGATTTGTAGTATGGAAAAGATATACCCTATCTGGCGTTAAATGCAGAAATAAAATATCCTAAATATGTAAATTAGAGCTTATCAAAAGTTACCCGAATTATAATTATAAACAGCATAATATTTAGTATAGAGCATTGGTCGCGGTCCAACAAGGGGGATCCCTTATTTTTCATAAAATATATAAAATATTATAAAATGGTATACATTTTTTTAAGTCTTAGGTAATTTACAAAACATAAATTAAAATTTTGTATGATACATAGACGAAGTTCCCTTTTTGATGTCAATTAAAAATAAACGTGAAAAAAAAAATAATTTTAAGTTAATGCATGTAATTGAGTTTAAAGGCAATCGAAAAGCGCTATCATCGTAATGTAATGGTACAGAACATCAATCCATTAGCCGATTTTATTACATTCATCAATATAAACGTAAAGTGGTTAGCAAAATATAGTTACAATATAATTAATTATATATTAATTACTGGCTACAGAATAAGTGCAGTTGAATCGGGTGTTCTTAAAATAAAATATAATAATCTCAAAACACAAAGAGCGCGGTTGGTACTAACGAGCGAACAGAAAGATTGGACGGTTCGTTCGCGAGCACGGCGCGACGGCGACAAAACTTCCTCAAAGCATCGCGTTTGTTCTCAACACAAACTATGCTCAAAGTGGCTAAAGTTTAAGTTTGTTCACAAGTATACGTATTTTTTCTTTTGCTTTTTAATTTCAATCAATAAAAAGATAAATTTATATTTATTGAATGTGCATACTATTTTTCGGAATATTTTTAAACACACACATGCGAAACTTTGAACATACTGTAGCTGTAACTATTATTTTTGACTGTATTGACACTACACTTGTATTGAAATTTAGAATATAGAGAAAGACTAAAAAATTGTTTAGTAACGTTCCTTTGAAAGTGTAGAAAAATAACCATTATTGGATCACCATATACCGATAAACATGGAAAGCTTTCGTTCTGATTATGTACTTCCTACTATGTACATATTTACATAAGTAGTATTTACATAAGTATGAACACCGTCAATGTTTCTTAGTGCAAACTTTCGTCTACTTTAATCAGACAGAACGAGCAAACTGCACAATCTATCGTCAATATGAATTCGGAAATAAATTGAAATCGGGCATAATGAAGACGGGCCGCATAAAGCCCGTAGACGTACTAATTTCGCGGGCGCCATCTTGCGGTCGCCATGGCAACGAGACTGCACCCCCCTGGCCACCACGCCGCCCCCTGCACTTGCGTTGCACTCTAAAAGCTAGACTCGACTATGCCTAGGTCTAGATAGCGTGCTAGCTGAGATATGAGGTCCGCGCGGCTAATTAAGCTGTTCGGGCTTGTTTGTGTAAAAAAGTAATAAATTTTCACTGTCGATCGACTAGATTTATAACTTAAGAAAATTTAAGATAAGATAATATTAATAAATAGTTTGTGCATACTCGGATTATATAAAATAATTTTTAGTGCGTTTTAAAAAGGATAATATTTGAATTAAAGTAAACAAGAAATAGGTTACTTGAAAAATAATTTAATACGACTATGACATTACGAAAAATTTGAATCGATTGATATTTGACTATTTAATAAAGAAAATAATTACAAAGATATGAATTTTATTTATGAAATCGATTTTACATGATAACTTTTTTGTATTTTCTTAACATTTTCTATATTTCATAACAATGGTCACTTATGTAAGTGAAACAAATTCATTATAGAGTTGACCTCTATGTAGATTCACCTTGACCTCTACATATGTGATTTAGCTTTGTACATAGAACAATGTTGACTATATTACATAGTCACACAACACACAAATGATAAATTGTATTTCCGTTCATTGCCAATTAGGTGAAAGTTATTTTCATTCGGCTTTCACGTAAATATTTATCTGCTAATAACCGTGACTTTCTCCTGACGTAATGCATTTTCAATATATATTTATTTGCACAATTTGCCTTTTCCAGGCATGTATGTGTTTTTGTAGCATAAAATTTGCTTATAACAAAATACTTATACAAAAATATGCAAAATTATCATTTACAGTCAAAATAAGCAATGGCTAATAGGAAAAAAAATATTAAATATTTTTACTGCCTTTTTTCTAAACTCAATTGTATTTAACTCTACCACTTCATAATTGTTTAGGAAATCCTAAATGTTTTTGATTAAAATTATTTAAAAATCAATAATTTTTTAATGCTTTTCCTTTTAAGAAAACGCATCCGCAAAAACGCGGACATGCGACGTCCCTAAACTCCGTCGAAATTTGCACAGAGCACTTTGTAATTGCAAATTTTGTTGTTTTGCGCATGCGCCGCGCTCCGATCAATACAAGACTTTAAATAATGTTCTTTTTTCATACAAAATATAAATTTCGCGGCAAAATTAAACATTCATTAAAATGTTAACTTTTTAAATTAAATGTTTTAAACATGAAATAATATAATTTGGTTATAATAGAAAATTTTGACTAATTGAATGATTTATTGTATTAGAGTTGAAGTTTTAGTTTGAGTTGAAAGTTCGTTAATAACATCGAAAAGAATTTTAAATTATCTGTGCAAAGATTTAATTGAATTTGCGATACCTCGGCAGGGGGCGCTATTGTGGGAGGTGGGGGAAAGTGGGTTGAGGTGGGCCACCCGACGCTATTGGATAGTTACTCTAAACTATTGCTTGAAACTTTCATTAATGCATTCTATTGCCTCGTTATGCATTTTAGGCGTCCTTTTACCGATATAATGGCATTCTAGTTTAAGATTTACCGCTTTTGTTATTAAATAAATTTGAGTGTTATAGTTCTAATATAAGGAAATAATTTATTAATTTTACTTATATTATAAATGCGAATTTTGAAGAGATGGATGGATAAATGTATGTTTGTTATAGGATATCTCCAGAATGGCTCAACCGATCTTGACGAAGGCACAGATGAAGGACATAGTCTGGAATAACACATCGATTATTAATTAAGTTTTTTTTTATTGCCGCGCGGACGGAGTCGAAGGCGACAACTAGTATTCTTATAGTTAAAAATAGAAAAGAGCAAAATACTTCTACCAGTACATTCCCAATTTACTATATCATAGGTAAATATATTTCCTCAAACTGTAATCATTTTTTTGATTAAAATATAATCGTAAAAATATTTGTACACAAATTATTTCCAATTGTGAATTTTATATTTCAATTATTTTCAAGTAACAAAATGTGTAAGCAAGGAAAACGTGGAAAAGTCGTAATTTCCGGATGATATTTGAAAATTTCATAACTTTTACACCGTCTCAATGTTACAAAGAGTCGTTAAATATTATATTTGGTTCGCTATTCGCGCTAAATTG